GTTCTTCTATGGCATCGTGAAGCACCTTTATTTTTAAGCGTGTACACTCATTTAGCCCAGCTTCCAGAGAATAAAGATATTATATTATATAATCAAATGTTATATTTAATAGAAAAGGGTTATCATTTTGAACTTTGTTCTTATTGATTTTGTTCTATGGTTCTAATGATAGCTGTATGAGACATATAAAGACTAACTGTGCCATATCACCATATGTACCTACTAACTCTTATGCATGCTTTAAGTTTATGATTTTGTTTTGTTGTTGAGTTTTTTGAGTTGACCATTATGTGCTATATGTTAAACTATGACAGTGAATCATGTGTTTTAGTTTGTATAAGTGCTCTTTGATCCATGTGAATGTAATGTTCTGTTCAAGTGATGTACCACAGCTCAACCTCGAAGGCAAACGATACTGCCTATGTTTTATCTAATGGCGTATTTACAGGGGTTGTTTAGGAATATGACAGGCATGTGACCATGCCAAAGGAACAGTTGTACTAGTCTTTCTGTATTCTAAGTTAGTTAAAAGCTAGCTCCTCTTACTCATTTTCTACAGCCGTTGGAAGTGTGGAGAACTCTGTCTTCTTCAGTAAACTCTCTGTCAACTGACTGAACTTCAAATTTTACTCCTGGTCTTCATTGAGCATATTGGTCTCTATGTGGTTTAACTGTAATTCCCCTACAAATTTTTTTATTCTCTCTGGTTTTCCAGCTCATCTGCCCATTCCTGTCATCACCAGAGAATCTCCACAATGTTCTTCATCATCATCAGGATCATCAGTGTCCACATGTGCACTGCTGTGTTCAGTGTTGAATGTGAGTCATGTGACTCTCTCCTGGTACAAAGGAAACAGTTTATTGTCCAGCATCAGTGTGTCTGATCTCAGCATCAGTCTCTCTCTACCTCTGGAGGTGGAATATCAGGATAAAAACAGCTACAGCTGTGTGCTCAACAATCCCATCAGCAACCAGACTCAACATCTGGACATCAGACAGCTTTGTTCAGGTTTGCTGGCATTTGATATTAGTGTTCATTTAGTAAGCTATGGCAGTAAATAGATAATAGGGTAAGAAACCATACACCATTTTTTTATATTTTAATCATACATTTAAAACTGTGAAACAAAACCTTTGGAAGGCCAAAAAAACAATAAATAAAATCATGCTGCTGAATTTGCTCTATACGTTTATTCTGTTGCTTACCTTGCTTAAAAACAGGATTTTCAGAATTTGCTTTCAGTAATTACTGTTTTTTTATCATCATTACAGATCAGAGCCACATGCTGAAACAAAGTATGATAAGTGGTTGGACTTTTGCTGCTGTTTTATTGTTTGTGCTGGTCATCATTGCAGGTCTTCTATGGCATTGTGAAGCACCTTTATTTTTAAGCGTGTACACTCATTTAGCCCAGCTTCCAGAGAATAAAGATATTATATTATATAATCAAATGTTATATTTAATAGAAAAGGGTTATCATTTTGAACTTTGCTCTTATTGATTTTGTTCTATGGTTCTAATGATAGCTGTTTGAGACATATAAAGACTAACTGTGCCATATCACCATATGTACCTACTAACTCTTATGCATGCTTTAAGTTTATGATTTTGTTTTGTTGTTGAGTTTTTTGAGTTGACCATTATGTGCTATATGTTAAACTATGACAGTGAATGTCATGTGTTTTAGTTTGTATAAGTGCTCTTTGATCCATGTGAATGTAATGTTCTGTTCAAGTGATGTACCACAGCTCAACCTCGAAGGCAAACGATACTGCCTATGTTTTATCTAATGGCGTATTTACAGGGGTTGTTTAGGAATATGACAGGCATGTGACCATGCCAAAGGAACAGTTGTACTAGTCTTTCTGTATTCTAAGTTAGTTAAAAGCTAGCTCCTCTTACTCATTTTCTACAGCCGTTGGAAGTGTGGAGAACTCTGTCTTCTTCAGTAAACTCTCTGTCAACTGACTGAACTTCAAATTTTACTCCTGGTCTTCATTGAGCATATTGGTCTCTATGTGGTTTAACTGTAATTCCCCTACAAATTTCTTTATTCTCTCTGGTTTTCCAGCTCATCTGCCCATTCCTGTCATCTCCAGAGAATCTCCACAATGTTCTTCATCATCATCAGGATCCTCAGTGTCCACATGTGCACTGCTGTGTTCAGTGTTGAATGTGAGTCATGTGACTCTCTCCTGGTACAAAGGAAACAGTTTATTGTCCAGCATCAGTGTGTCTGATCTCAGCATCAGTCTCTCTCTACCTCTGGAGGTGGAATATCAGGATAAAAACAGCTACAGCTGTGTGCTCAACAATCCCATCAGCAACCAGACCACACATCTGGACATCAGTCAGCTTTGTTCAGGTTTGCTGGCATTTGATATTAGTGTTCATTTAGTAAGCTATGGCAGTAAACAGATAATAGGGTAAGAAACCATACACTTCGTCTAATTTTTTTTTGTACACATTTTTTTTTATTTTAATCACACATTTAAAACTATGAAACAAAACCTTTGGAAGGCCTAAAAATAAAAATAAAATCATGCTGCTGTATTTGCTCTGTATGTTTATTCTGTTGCTTACTTTGCTTAAAAACAGGATTTTCAGAATTTGCTTTCAGTAATTACTGTTTTTTTATCATCATTACAGATCAGAGCCACATGCTGAAACAAAGTATGATAAGTGGTTGGACTTTTGCTGCTGTTTTATTGTTTGTGCTGGTCATCATTGCAGGTGTGAAAGTCTGGAAATGTAGACAAGCAAATCAAAATGGCAAGTATCGCTGATATATGACTTAGAAAATATTTAAAATGATGCATCACAATATGTTTTGTAATTACCATTTATGTTTGTACAAGTGGAGGAACAATATTTAGTCTTTATTGCCTTTGTGGTTTTAGTTTATGATTTGGCATCCTTTAGCATGTTGAAGACTGTTAGAAAACAATTGAAAAGTACTAGATTATGATGAGAAGTTATAAATACAGAAATGGATAACTGATGGTCAGTCAGTAAGTGGAAGATCTCGCAGTCTGATTAATTTTTGTGTTCAACAGACGCCAGGCTGTAAACTGAGACCCGTCAAAGTTTCCCAGCAGGTTAGATACAAGAAAAAAATTCATAATACATTCAATAAAAACCGTTTAATACAAGTTTAAAATGGCATTATAACAGTGCATTTGAAATATCATTTTAATAGCAGTGGCATCCAGTGGGGACACACCAGACACCAAATATGATGGACAGCAAAATGGAGATTTGATTCCCAGTTCATCCTCCTTAAGGACACCACAAAAAAAAAAAAATATATATATATATATATATATATATTTTTTTTTTTTTGTGGTGTCCTTAAGGAGGATGAACTGGGAATCAAATCTCCATTTTGCTGTCCATCATATTTGGTGTCTGGTGTGTCCCCACTGGATGCCACTGCTATTAAAATGATATTTCAAATGCACTGTTATAATGCCATTTTAAACTTGTATTAATCGTTTTTTATTGAATGTATTATGAATTTTTTTCTTGTATCTAACCTGCTGGGAAACTTTGACGGGTCTCAGTTTACAGCCTGGCGTCTGTTGAACACAAAAATTCATCAGATCGTGAGATCTTCTACTGACTGACTGACCATCAGTTATCCATTTCTGTATGTATAACTTCTCATCATAATCTAGTACTTTTCAATTGTTTTCTAACAGTCTTCAACATGCTAAAGGATGCCAAATCATAAACTAAAACCACAAAG